CAGCATGCATGTGTGTCCTTCTTGTTTTAGAATCTTTTGCAGTAAACACATTGATGATTGAGACATGATTAATAAATTAATTTCTGGTAAATATTCCAGGGAGATTATCAGGCCGGTCCTCCAAGGATGAATCCACCAATGCATTATGGAAGTCCCGAGTCATCTTATAGTTCCCGCGTATCTTTGTCAAAAAGCATGCCGCGTGGGGAGGGTTCTAACTTCCAGCATAGGCCTTATCCGTCTTCTCATCCACCACCTCCGCCATCACATCATTATTCATATATGGAGCCGGACCACCATATAAAGTCGCGGAGAGAAGGTCCATCATACCCTCACAGATCTCATTACACACTGGAATTTGACGAAAGGAATTATCAAGACAGCTATGAGAGAATGAGGCCTGCACCATGTGAGAATCGAGACAATTGGAGATATCATCCGCCCTCTTCTCATGGTGGACTCCTTTAACCTCTTTTTTTTCTTATAATTATCATGCATGCATAGGCATATATGAATGCATATCTGTGCACACAAGCACATGGTCATGCATGCTAATAGGCGTGAATGCTTTTTCATATTGCAGGTCCACGATATCATGACAGACACAAAGGCCCTTATCAATCGAGCTCATACAGTGGCCATCACCGTGACTCTGGAAGATTCCAGAACAATAGGTGGAGTCATTCTCCGCGTGCATATAACAATAGACACTCGTTTCACTATAAGCCGCATTCGGAAGGTCCTGTTCCAGTAGGAATGAGAGGTAATGTGGAAATGCATGCTTGTTCAGTGGACTCATAATTTACTCTCCCACAAACTGTTTCGTAGACTGGAATTGTTTACTAGGTTTAGAAACTCTGATCCTAGGATGAGCCATTTGATTTTGATTGGGATCTTATCTTATTAGGTCTCTGACATTGGAGATTGTTTTGCTTGAACATATGGTTGTCTATCTTGAATAAAAAAAATTAAATGAAGTGGAGTGTGTTTTTGTGGAATTGCAGATCCTCCAGGGACGTGGCATCAAAGGTGAGTGGGAGACATGTCAAGAAGGCGAAAGGTGCAGTCTTGAGAGAGAGATGTTAATATACAAAGAAGGCACAGCTGTGTGTACATATGATGATGACCAAAACCTCATGAGGAAGGCAAAATCACAGTCGTGAAAAGCCATTTGTGTTGTAGCTAGAGAGATTTGAGAAAGAACAAAAAATGAGTTAGGCAGCCCTGAGCCCCTGACACTGATTTAGCCATTTAATTTTTGTAAACATATATTTTTTTCCTTTTTTTTTTTTGGGAGTGGTATAATATGCAATTCTAGGAACACCTCGACTCTAATAATGTAAAGTGGTTAAATTGTGTTGGTGAAAAAGAGGATCTACAACAAGAGACGATAGGAATAATTAAATAGGAAATGGTTACTTACAGGAAGGAAAAAACAATTAGAAATGGTTGTTACTTGTTACCAAGGAATTAACAGCTATGAATGATGAGCGAAATAAAATGAAATAAGGAAGACGGAAGAAGGGGACACATATCATCATTCTAATTAATTTCTTCTGTGCGCGAGCGAGAGAGAGAGATGGGTGGTTCTATATCATCATCAGTGTCGGAGAAATCAATCCATCAATTCACCGTCAAGGTTTTTTTAATTTATGAATCCCTTTTCTACTTCTTCTTCTTCTTCGCGTTTCTGATTTATTATTGTTGTTGGGTTGGTCGGAAATTAGGATAGCTCCGGCAAGGAGGTTGACCTAAGCGTATATCAAGGGAAAGTGTTGCTCGTCGTCAATGTCGCTTCTAAATGGTCCGTCTTTGGACAGATCCTCTCCTCTCCTCTCCTCTGGTTTTTTTTTCTGGATTTTTTTTTTATTGCCTAAAGAAATGGTTGTAATTTTTGTTAAATATTAAATTGGGCAACAGCGGATTCACGGAATCCAATTATACCCAGCTGACGGAGCTTTATCGGAAATATAAAGATCAAGGTCACAATTAGACTCTTCTCTTTGTCTCTTCATTTGGTTTCCATCTATTTTGTTGTTTATGTAAGATTTTGTTGGCAGGGTTTGTGATATTGGCGTTTCCTTGCAACCAGTTTCTGTACCAAGAGCCTGGCACCAGCCAAGATGCTCATCAATTTGCTTGTACTCGCTTTAAGGCCGAATACCCCGTTTTCCAAAAGGTATTTTAGATTTTGATTCTCTCTTTCTTTTTTTTGTTATTATAACAACAAAGCACTCTTGCTTGCTTCACATAATAATAAGAAATTGTTTTCCTCCATCTGTGTAGTGCTCTTGTTGTTATATATGCCTTTCATAGGTGATTTTGTAACTTTATAAGCTTGATCATGATGTAGGTGCGTGTCAATGGACAAAACGCTGCACCAGTCTACAAATTCCTCAAATCTAAGAAACCCTCTTTTTTTGGAAGTCGTATCAAATGGAACTTCACCAAGTTCTTGGTCGGCAAAGATGGCCAAGTCATTGATCGTTATGGCACAACTGTGCCTCCTCTATCCATCCAGGTCTCTTACTCTCTCACTTGTTCTTAGATATTCTTTAAGTCTTCTCATCTCTTTTATAGCTTACTTCATGTTTGTTTTCTGCATAACAGAAAGACATCGAGAAAGCCCTTGCACAAGTATTATGAACACGCACAGGCATTGGAAGAAACTTCTTCTCATACTCTCCATCACCTTGTCTAGTTTCCCTTCCATATGGGCCTTGTATTCATCTTATGTGTAACTCTACTAGCCATTTCTTATGTGAATTTTGATCAAAGATTATTCCAATAAGTTGATTTGAACCCAAAAAAAAACACAAGTAATTCCAACAAATACAAACCACCAGATAAGCTAAAGATTAGACGAAAATCAGCAAGATCAAAACAAAACACCACTGATTTTCCCTCGCCTATAGCTACGTCACTTGTTTGTTAGTTATATCTCTCATCGTTTAATTTTTATGGTACGAATTACACGGTTACGATAAGATTTAAATCTGTCTCATGTGTTGAGTGAGAACTTTTTCCATCTGTAATGTATCGATTATAATTGGCGTATCACTCTCACGTGCTCTGTTTGGGCCTAAGACAAATAAAGAAAGAGAGAGTACCTAAAGGAGTACGTAAAGGAGACCTTGACCACTCTTTCATGCATTCATCTTTCTCTTAATTACTTGTCTTATCAATTTCTTTTGCTTTTGTTAGATTTCTCAAAATATAGATTATTAACATTAATACGTTTGATGGGTTTATTTTGTGAACAAACGACCGACCTATCCCATAATCATTAATTAGACATTACAACTAGTCTACTGTCTCATCCATTTTTTTTTTCCTTTGCATAATGTTTTTCTTTTTTTTCTTTTTAGATTAGCACCGGGTATCCAGTCACCGATTTTTCAAAACCGAAGACAGGGACCAATACCGACTACTCCCGAAAGTGAGCAAGCCCTCGAATTTCCTGCATGCCCACGATACGTTGAGTCGAAATCTATGAGTCTAAGTTTGGAGATGGGTGTAAATGCAATCCCCTTCCCTTAGGTTCTGGCTCAACTACCATTGCAATCTCTTACTTGCATCGTTTTCTCTTTGGTTCTTCAGTTTTTGGATTGATTTGGTTTATCCTGGTTGAACATATCCAATTGTACTTAATACATTAAAGAGCTTTGGTGTAGCCCATTTCGGTCTTTTAGTTTAGGCATATAGTGAGAAATTTAGGGAAAATTAATGGTTATTATACAACGAAACTACAAACTTTTCTTGTTTAACAACACAATGAAATTATAAACTAAACCTTCTTAATAGTTTAACTGATACCCATTGGGTCAATTGGAAAGCTTATAGTCAAGGCATGAACGAGTGATGTGGTGGGATGAACATTCATGCTAAACCCGTAAGCAAATCCATAATTAACAAGTTGATTAAATTAATCACATGTCTTAACTACCAAATTAGATATTTAATCATTCCATTCCCACCTAACACACAGCAAGACATAAAGCCCCACAAGCCACAGCTCCATCATTAAGACTCATGTGTGCATGAACAGAAGTTTTCTGTTCAAACAATATCCTCACCGCAAAATCAAATTTGAAAACTGAAAAGCTTTTTTTCGAAAAAGGGAAAAAATTGATACCAAAATGTTTTGAACATTTAATCAATGATGGATACTAAACATAAGATTTTAGTTCAAAAGCGAAGCTCAGCATCATGCCTTTCCTTCACACTTAGAAACATGTAGGTCCTCCATATTATTCAATTCAATAATGTATCTTAAATTTATCCGATATATGCATTTTACATCATATCTACCAAATTATCTCTACACAGTATCTGCCAAATTATTTGAATCGAGTTCGAGTCAGCATGTATACTAGTATATAAGCAATCTATCTCTCTAGCAGCCAAAACCCATAAAAAATAGTTAACTTTGAAGGTTTCTCGATATAGCTAGAGGATCAATGGCAGGGACAGTAGCGTTGAGATGTTGCAGTAGTGTTAACAAGGTTAGGACATGGAAAAGATGTTCGAAGCAGATAAAGGAGCAAAGGGCTCGTCTTTACATCATCTGGAAATGTGCTGTCTTTCTTCTCTCCTCCCATGATTGATCCTCCATATATATATAAGCAATCTCCTTTCCTTCATCAGTTCCTTTCTTCTTGGATATATGTATTAGTTGAATTCCAAACTAACTAGCTATTTAAACGTGCCATAATGTAAATTCTATTGTGATCATCGAAAAACGATATATACTGTCATTTGGTTATCTTTCAGAAGTTCTGTCTTGTAATTAGAGATGCTATAAGAACAACAAAGAAAAAGAGCTGTGTATATCTTCATAAGGTCTTGTCTTCTTAAAATATACTGCTACTACATGGATTTTGTTTCAATCGGTGTTAAATCCTTCTAGTTTTCCAAAAATAAACAAAAAGTCCAAAAACGAGGCGCGTGGTTGAAAGTCGCTCTTAACACGCGTGGTGTTCTTGTAGTTCTGGTCTTCCAGGGTTTAAAGGCATTTCTCATTTTCCCTCTGGTAGAAAAACCCTAATTGCTTCTGCTAAAATCAAATCAGGAATGGTGTTCAGAAACTTAACCATTTCTTACAAAATCATCAAATCTCTGAAAAACCCTAGTTTAGGGCTTCAAATCAGATCGATCTCGAGCTTGAAAGTGGTATGGAAGAAAGACACGAGGCTAGACGAAGCCATCGAGCAGGACAAGCGTTACAAGCTCTGTGCTCGGGTGGTTAAAGAAGTGCTGAACGAGCCAGGTCAAGTCATTTCTCTCAGATACCTCGAGAAACGCCGCGAGAGGTTACGACTCACTTCCAAAGCTAAGAGCTTTGTTGAGATGAACCCTTCTCTGTTCGAGATCTACTACGATCGGATCAAACCCAAGTCGGATCTCGTTCAATTCATCCGCCCCACGCCTCGTCTCAGAGCTTTCCTCGACGAAGAACAGAGGATTTACGCTGAGAATGAGCCCTTGATTGTTTCCAAGCTCTGCAAATTGTTGATGATGGCTAAAGATAAGGTTATCAGTGCGGATAAGCTGGTTCATGTGAAGAGAGATTTCGGATTTCCGAATGATTTTCTGATGAAATTGGTTCAGAAATACCCTAATTATTTCAGGCTAACTGGTTTACCTGAAGAAGGTAAGTCCTTTCTTGAGCTCGTCTCTTGGAACCCTGATTTCGCCAAATCGAAGATTGAGCAGAGAGCAGAAGACGAAGCTCTTAAAACCGGTGTCCGGGTTCGACCCAATTTCAATGCGAAATTGCCGTCTGGGTTTTTCCTAAGGAAGGAGATGAGAGAGTGGACTAGGGATTGGTTAGAGCAAGACTACATATCACCCTATGAAGATGTGTCTCATTTAGACCAAGCTTCTAAGGAAATGGAGAAACGAACTGTTGCAGTTGTGCACGAATTGCTGTCTCTTTCGCTTTTGAAAAGAGTCCCTGTGCCGACACTTGGCAAGTTCTGCGATGAATTTCGGTTTTCAAACGCCTTCTCGAGTGTTTTCACTCGTCATTCAGGTATATTCTACTTGTCACTAAAAGGAGGGATCAAGACTGCAGTGTTGAGAGAAGCTTATAAAGACGATGAGCTTGTTGATAGAGATCCTTTGCTTGCTATTAAGGATAAGTTCCTGAGCTTATTAGAGGAAGGATGGCAAGAAAGGAAAGATAGACTGAAACAGCAGAGGGAACAAGTTCAGAAAGATAGGGAGTTGATGTTAGCAACGAAAAGCAATGAACCTAAAGAGCGTCTCTGTGATTAACTAATAATCAAGCCTCTGTTTATGTCCTCTGTTTTTTTCTCTAGGCATAGTTCTTGGCCTGGTTTGGTCTTTAGGGTGGATGGTTAAGTTTGTAAGTTTTGGCTAATAAGAGAAAGAAGAATCAAATGTTAATCACCCGTCTCAATTGCAATCTTGAATTCACTTGTTTTCTCCATCTCAGGGAGTTTATTTAAGTTAGAACGGTTTCAGCGACCAAATGATACATATTCACATACCGTTCTTTGTTTTAGGAGATATATGATATTTTTGAGATCCTAAATCAAGAATCATCTTGGAGATTATGATCAATCAACACTTAAATCTTTTATCTTCTTCACATGTGTTTTCTTTTAATCAATCCAAGTTTTATACCACATTTCTTTCGTCACGCATTTGGAGTTGCAGCTATTAATTGTAGTTTAGTAATTAAATTGGTTGTGGAATTTGGAACAGGACTTGTTGTTATACCAAAGTGAAACACTCTCCTGAAAGAAAGCTCTACAAGCAACCTAACACCAAGGTCACGCAAATGAAATGGATAACTCAAAATCACCTAAAATCCTTCTGCAACCCTCTTTGTGCCTTGCTCGACTTTGAATATATAAAGAGACACACCTAAGATATCTTTTCACACACTCTCTCCATGGATACACTTTTTATTGCAGCTACTCTGGCTCTCGCTCTCTCCTCTTTCACAAGAGGCCAGAGAGTGATACAGATTCCACCACCACGTCCACTGTGCGCGTCTCAATACGCTCTGGCTAACTACGCCTGCTCACGTCTCCCAATGCACACTGTCCCACCACCTGCCCCCATTACCCCACCTTCCCCTCCCATCGCTCCCCCGCCTCCTGACCATGACCATCACGACCATGACCATGACCACGACCACGACCATGACGATGACCACGACGATGATGATGACCACGACCACGATGATGACCACGATCACGACCATGACGATGACCACGATCACGACCATGATGATGACGATGACCACGACCACGACCGTGACCGTGACCGTGACCGTGATCACGATGACCATAACAATAACCACGACCATGACAATGATCACAATGACCATGATCATGACAGCGACCACCACAACAATGACGACAACAACCACGATCACCACCGCCGTCGACACCACCGCCACCATCACCGACACCATCATCGACACAGTGAAGAGACGTTTGCGCAACAAGATTGCTGCAAGTGGTTGAAGCAAATGGACAACGAGTGCGTGTGCGACCTTCTGGTCCGGCTTCCGCCATTGCTAGCCAAACCAATTCATAACTATACAGTCTTTGTGGATGAGTCATGCATCGTCACTTTCGTCTGTGGAGGCAGACTCATTAGCTGATTCTCTTTCCTTTCTAAAACTATACTGCCATGTCTTCTTCTTCGAGAATCACAACCCCTTTGTTTATCTTCTTTTCTCAGTTGTCATAAAGTTTTTATTCACGCCGTTTAGTTTAATTATTGTACGTTCACATTACATTACACTAGTCAAAAAGTCAAACCAAACCATTCGCGTGAGCATCACTCTCGCTCTGTGTGCGCTTCGTATTCCATTCCACATGGCCCGAAGTTCATAGGGCATTGAGATTATCGTTAGGCCCAATATTTAAATTAGTTTCAGGCCCGTTTATTGTATTTACACCGCAGTGGGTGGGGTGATTTTAAAGGACGTTTTCTAATTCTACGTTGACATAATTTAATCGAATCCATTCTATAATGCAATTTCAATTGACAAAAAGAAAAGAAAAGAATATGTAGTCCTAACAAACAAAACAATATAAAAAAACTAAGAGATGATGATGATATGTTAAACAAAAGGAAGATGGAGATTCATGGAATCTTGTTGCTATAAAAAAGGTCGCATTGATGGGACCAATATATAGAATTTAAATTTTCCAGTTATGCTAAAAAGATGTGATTCTTTTACTCGAACTTCTTTTTTTTTAGGCAAGTTGTTATTTGTCTTATTGCACTTTGTTCCATATATCTTATAGGTTCAAAAGCTACGTCAAAATCATATGTATACGCAATTATTCACATCTACATAAGTTTCCAATACATAGAACCAACCAGGCCGAGAGCAATGTACATGGAGGAGTTAAAAAGAGGATAAGTGATCAATTTTTTTTTGGTTTCGGAAACATATTTATATATTTATGACGATTAAATAGCAAACGGTAATAAGACAAAAATAAAGAGAGAGGTGGCCACTAGCATCGAGAGACGCCAATTGCACACGAGCTTAGTAGAGAATAATAAAATGGATGGGTTCCAATTAAGAACGCATTAAGAAATTATATGTGTGTGTGTGTGGGGCACTCACATGAATCGAATAATTTGAACATATTTGTCAACGGGCTTAATTCTCTGTACGGCTTCAGGCGCGTCCTACTGTTTCTTACTGTACGGTTATTTGCTAATTGCTGCTTCTAATCTTATAACTATTAGTATTATTCTTCTTCTTCTTTTTCTTCTTTTGTTCCGACTCAAACTAGTTAACATTTTTGAACTGATTCCATACAGCAAAAGCTGCTGCAATATTTTCAAACTTTGTTGATCATATCATATCATCATTTGAGTGGTTATAATAATTTTATTTGTTCAGCTTCTTTTTTTGTTCTTTTAAACAGCAAAATCTAAGCTGGAAATAAAACAATTGACAGTGTCGACTTTCTGATTCTCTTTTTTTTTGCAAGAAAAAATGAATTGGCTCAGAAATTTGTTTACTTGCTACTAACTAATTCTCTCTCTCTCTATATATATATAGATATATGTATGTGTCATTTGGAAAATTCTGTAACTCACGTTTTAAGTAGTAGCAGTTGTCTATACAAGGTTTTAGTCTTTAACATGAGGAAATATATGGATCTAGACCCAGAACATTTTAATTATTAAAAAAAAAATGTTTATAGCTAGCAACTAATTATTTTTTTTTCAAAATTGTTCATAATTTATGGTTATAAACTTATATACATACGTGTGCCTGCAGTCAAGATTAACCTCTCTCTTTTTTTCCCTTTAGTTATTATTGGTTTAGATTTCCCTATTAATTAATAAAGAGATATAAACTATATAAATCGTACCAACTTTAAGCCCCACTCAGCTTAGTCGTCGTTATATTATTAAAATCAAATAGTTACAAGGCGGTAGTCTTTACTTTCCAAATATAGCATTCCACTCACAGTCTCACTTACATCCAAAAAAGTAGATGATAATACTGAATAACCGTTATGCCAAAATTTTCAGTATCTGACAATACTATATACGATATGCATATATAATAGTATATTTTATTTTTGTAGGCTTAATTTTTTATATTTTTTCCACCACTCATCGTAGTCTCGTATATTTTCTGATCATAGCCACGTCACCATCACCAATAACCATTGGCGTAAATTTCCGAATCCAGCCTTTTCTTTAATTTGCGTGGTTACAACTGATCACGCCACTAGACACCGCGACAACTCGCGTTCCATGGCCGCCGCAACGGCCGTTGAAGCTTCCAGGAACGGCCGACGGCTGGCAATGTCCAGCAGAAACCGCGACACAGTATCGGTGCTTGGTCCAGCCACGAGCCTCTCCCAGGCCACGTCAGCATCCGTCTTGGACCTGCGCTTTGTAAAGACCGGAGTTGCATCCACTCTCTGGATGGACCACTTCTTCACTTTTCTCAACCGTTCGATCTTTTCTCTCTGCCTACAAGCTAACTCAAATGTGTTCCTCTTTATGTCTTCGACCACTTTAATTAACAGTTCTTCTCTGTCTTTCACATTCAAGAACTGCTCGTTCCTGAAAAACCTGTCAAACTCTGGAACTCCAATTGCTTTCTTGATCCCTCTTGAGTAATCAGAATCCGAAAAGTCAAAAAAATCTCTAACTTCCTCAACCATTCCATTTTCCACCATCTTGTCTACTCTCTCAGACACGAACCCATGCAAAACGGGAAGTGCCACGTCGACCCATAGAAAACAACAGTCGTATCTCGACCTGAATTTGTTGTCTTCGTCATCCACTAGAGCCTCCACGTAAGAGTTGGAACCTCCAACGATGATTGGAAGCTTTCCCCGGTTTAGGATGGATTCAATGGAGAGATTCGCCATGTGACAGTAATTCGGGGCGGTTAAGTCGGCTTCAGGCGGCAAGACGCCGAGGAGATGATGCGGTACCCCGCAGCTTTCCTCGCTCGTGATCTTGTTGGTGACAATGTCTAGACCTTGGTGGACTTGGATCTTGTCGGAATTTATTATCTCAGCCCGAAAACGTGTGGCTATATCGACGGAGAGTCGTGACTTGCCTGTTCCGGTAGCACCCATTATGACCACAACTTTGTCCTTTGGACCGTATGGGTTTAGAGTTAGCATATTGGGACCAAATCTCGCAGGAGGGAAGTCTAACGCCGGCGAAGGAGGCAATGGTTGTTTGCACATAGCCATAGATACCTTCATGATCATGATGAAGCGCTTTGCAATATAAACTTCAGATGTTTTTGATATATTTTGTTATGTTTGGTAGGCTTGTATATCTACTTATGCAATGTTCAGGTGACTTTGCATGAAGGATATGATTTATATATATAGGGTCACACACTTGGAAATGGACACTGTACGAATGAAATACGACAAGTTGGCTCCCCCCCTTTTTTAATTGGTCAAACCTGTTTTTTTTTTTTACTTTATTATATTCTCCTCTAATTTTATTTAGGCTGGCTAAATATTTGATACGCGTGCAAATGCAGATGATACTGATTGATAATGTCTCAATCAAACGTAAACTTCTATTGCGTTTGATGTGAAGTTAAGATACGATTTTTTCTAGGAAATTAACGATTGTATGCAAGGCAGAAAGTTTTAAGAAGCATTTCCCAAAAAAAAAAAATATGTTTATATGAAAATATGGGTTGTCTAAGCTAATAGTATTTGTTTTTAGTAGATTTTTATTTTCATGTTATTAGAGCAGTCGCAATTAATGAAAAACTCTGCAATTAATTACCTTGGATGGATTGACATTATTAATCTAAAAACACTTAATAAATTAGGTTATGATGCCTCCTCATGATGATCGGTCTACTAAATATTATATGTATATATATAGATATTCTATATGCCCTAATTTCATAAGAAAAAGTTATGCAGATGTGATTCTATCTCATATTTTGATATTATCATAGAGTCTTTTATATTTGTAGAATAATATAAAGTTTCTATTGGACCGTCCATTAATGAAACGGAGAGGCAAAATTGTTTGTCGACCTGCAATGGCCAGAGGCCCCGGGAACGTCTCTTATTACTCTCCCCACTTACGTATAAATCTTAAGACGAAAAAACATAAAGAAAACTTTTTTTTTACAATATAATTATTCACATGATGAGATAAGAAATATAATGGTCCGAGAAAGGGCCTTTAAAAAGATTATTCTTACAGCGACAAGTCATAGCTATAGGAATGTAATTTTGCTTGCGAGCTTGGTAATGCGTGCATGCTCCTTCACACATCCATGTACGTATCTGATTCCTCCATTCCTATATAACAAAAAAAAAACGTAATAACACATAAATGTATATATATCCCTCAAAGATTTAATAAATTCAACTAAACCCATCTGGTATTTTTCACTATAAACTTTTACTAGAGCTAGCTTTGATTAAATTGTAGCCACTCTTCACTAACCATAAACTTGTGTACCAATATCTTTGTCTGTGTAAATTATTTAATTGATATAATTAGTTTTAATCAAATTGGTGGACTAAACCGGCCAGCTAGCTTATGCGTTTCTTGTTAAATCCTAGCTTTTTGTTGTCTTATCAGATGATTAGTACACTTGATTACGTTTTCTTTATATTATTTTTAGAAAAGTGTCATTCGATTACTCAAATTACACTACACAGCTTCAAATAAAGAAAGAATACATCAACCTAAAATATATAAAATGGTACCACTTAAATCTAAGAAGAAAATAGATATAATCGTTATTTTCTTAAACGTATTCACTTTTAAAATTGTATATTTCTAACATTTTCACATACTAAAACAAAATAAGAACTTTTCTTAGATATATTCCGTCGCTTGTAATTTAATTTCCATCTAACAATAAAAACTTTAAATAAAAAATGTTGTTTAGGTTGGTTAGATACTTACATAGTTACATATATGCGTGCTAGCTCGTTGATGATAGATACGAAGAAAATAAAATAATTGGGATAAGAAGCTTAATGATTTGATTGATGTTAACCCAACACCCACGTTTGTAAAATAAAATATTAAAAATCTATCGTGATAAAAAGTAAATAATGCGACCAATAAGGCAGTCACGCCACGCCTACCTTTGCGCATTAACTTTCTTTTTATCTCTCTCTTTCAGTAATCATTTGTAAGAGATACACACCTGCGATTTTTGTTGTTTTTATATTAACGACAAAAATAGAATTTGCATGTGGAAATTTAGCGTAGCTATCCAATTTTAGGATAAACTTAACGGTTTTATCTCACTCAAACATTTAAACTTTAAAAGCAAACAAAAAAACTTCATGCCTACTTTGGACGTTTTTTTCGAAATTCAGATAAACATGCATTCTCTACAAAGTAAAGTAAACAAATATTTTTCGTCATATCCAGAAAAACCGAAACCGAAACTACATACCTAAATGTTTTTTTTTTTTTTTTTTAATTCCATTTTCTAAGTAATTTAATTTTTATGGTTTTCGAAAATAAATTTCTTTTCATAAGCAACTTAAACTTTTTTCCATTCAAAATTTAAACCAAGCCTGCACGCTTAATAATTTTACATTTTACATATCTCATAAAATTCCAAGAATCATTATTTCGCATGATCTTTGATCAATAAACTTTGTCCCATTCAAAAATAAAACCAAGCCTGCGCTTTTATGATTTAAGCACACGTACATACATAAACTAATACGGTTATAAAACATAATTTCCATAATTTCGTTCGTGTCATCTTAATACAAAAAATATAATTATCTCTAACAATGGAAAGTCATTCTCCTTCAAATCATCCCCCATTCCATCGGGTTCGTTCTTATTTTACTTTATACAATGACCAAGACTTGTTTTTGTGATATCATTTTTTATTTTGGTTTTATTTGTTGTCTGTATACAGCAGCAGACTCGTGTTCTGAAACTGGAACCCAAATGTTGTAACGAATGTGCGAGGAAAGTGAAACGAGCCATGCTAAACGTTGAAGGTGATTCATTTATGCATATATTTACCGTTTGTGATATATAACTAACAAGTTTAGTCGATTTGAATCTAATTAGCAATGGTGGATCTATGAATAGGAGTGCATTCGATAAAGGTTAATGCAAACGAGGGGACGATAGAAGTAAACAGTGAGGTCGACCCACAAGTGCTTATCGCAATGGCAGCTAAAGCCGGCAAACGAGCCGAGCTTTTGTGGGAACCTGAACCAGAGTCTCCTGATGACATTTCGACGGTAACACCTCCGCTCGCCATGCCATCAACTTGCCGACGTCAGGTCCATATCAGCAACTTTGACGGCTTTGAGCAGACAGTACACCTACAGGACTTGGTTGATAAAAACGCTCGTGGGATCAAACACATGGATATTATCGACAAGAGGGTCATCAAAATAACGTTTAAGGAGTCACATGATGATCCCAGTAGCGACCACTCACGGGACTCACCGTCTCCAATCGCACCACCGTCCTCTGACCCTAAGAATAGCAATGGCGGTGGTGGAGAGGCCAGTGGTTCAGGTGCTTGTAATGTTGGGGCTTCTGCTACTGCTGCTGAACCAACCCCCAAGATCAACGATGCTCCTTGTAACGGTAAAGCAGCAGAACCTCCGCTTGCAAATGTGAATTGCAGCAGCAGAGGGAATAGTTGTCGTTTGATGTAAAAGTACAGATCTATTTAGTTTAACTAGTATCAATGGAAACTACATTATAGCAACTTCTTAAAGAATGAGTTCGTAGAGATTTAAGAATTTCTACTACACAGTTGTCACAAACAATCAATCTTGCAAAAGAATCATCACTACCAAAACACAAAATCCTATCTTACCCTTGCCTCACGTGTTCCTGATCAGCGTGCTGTCGTTTGAGAGCAGACTGAGTCGGGTGTCCTCTTCTGCCAAGTCTCTTTGTTGGCTCGACATGCATCTTTTATCGGCCACTCGATCTGGAAGCCGTCGCTGTTCTGTTTTTCTAACTGACAACAATGTGTGTGAAACGTCTGAGGATCTACCTGAAGCTTGAAGTCAAGGGTGAACAACAACTCCATCTCCAATCTGTTTAACTCTCTCGTGCTGACACCTCCAACTCTCGCGTAGTATGCATTGTTGAAATACCTGCACAACACAAGAGATCAATGGATCTATGATTTAAATGAAATATGACATCAACTACATTGTACATCTTAAAGCTGCAAAAAGAAGTAGTGATGGACTCTGTTTCCTAATTGTTCCCCGGTCCTATTTTCTTATTTGTGTGTTGATCTATAAGCAGTTTCATACCAAACGGTAAACGTGCACTGAGTTCCTATCAAGTGCTAGTGGCTAGTGCTACTAGAATGAACACAATCTTAACAGATTACGCAATTGAAATGGAAAAAGCAAACCTAGGACTCAAGTAAGATACCTATCATCGAAGACTTTAGCAGCTAACATGACACTTGTTATGATAAGGCGGTGGACATTAAGCGGTTTGAGATGGGCTCGGGTCTTGTGGAGAAAGTGATCAATGTAGATATGTGCAATGACGAAGCAGGAGGGGCTGCAGCAAGAGTACTTGAAAATGCGATCCAAGTAGTGTGAAATGCTGATCTCAGGGGGAGATCTGCCGTCAAACAGAGTCACAGAGTCTGGCGATTGAAGCAGAATATTGTCATGATTGAGCAACAGAGATCTCTCCAGAGATGAAGAGAGGCGGGAGAGAACAGTAGGTGGCTTTTTCAATCGTTTGCCCTCAATTATAAGTCCTAATCTGAGGTATACATCCGAATCAATGAAACCTGGATCGGTTGCGAGAGATTCCATCTCTCCAACGAATCTGCAATGAGGATGATGGCATAAAAATGGTAACTTTGGAAAATTAAGCATAAAAAAAATCATATCTTTATGAGGGTTTTGAAATAGAAGACGTAGGTAGAGTGAATAAAGAGATGATTCAAGTAGGTGAACTAAATCTAATTAAGAACCTAAATCCTCTCTATTATTTCTCATACCTACCAAATACCAAGAATCATCAAGAATTAGGAATATAGTGGAAGAAGGGAGAGGAACTTACGAGATTTAAGTGGAAGAAGCTGGTTCTTGAACTAGGGAAGGTCCGGAGAATGGAAGAAAACAGATCTATCTCCGGCGCTTCTCCATTGTTGTTGCTCTGAAGCTAAAAAAAAAAAACTAAAAGAAGCCGCGAAGAATTGTGAAGAAGAAGGAAAGTTTCCATTATTATTGCGTTTATTTATTTTTGAAGGGTTTTAGATTTTTAATAATATTTTAAAAAAAAGAATAAACAAAAGTAAAAAAAAGGACAGAAGGAAGGAGTGATGTGTGGTAGAGAGAGACAGTTCACCGTCGGCGAGTCCAGCTGGTGGTGGTGGTGGCCCACCGTCTCACCTTCATTATCGCTGCTGCGAGCCTGTCTTTTTTCTCCATTATATTATTTACGCATAATTGAATCGAAAGAAGAAGACTGGGCTTTCTAAAATAAGTAGTTATTACTGGGCTTTGGGCTTTTATATGGGGGGTTTTGTATTAGGGTTGTTGTTGTGTAAAGGGGGCTTAATTGTCATTTCAGTGATAGAATAAACCCTAATCTCCCCTGGATTGGCTCTCAAAATTGCCGATTTTGTCTTTTTGATTTTTGAAATTTGGTATATTTCAAAAAAAGGCATCATTGGCTCCCATTATCGTCACGCAGATCAATGATTCTTTCACTCTTCTGCTTCTCATTCACGCTTCTCTGAATTACCTTTTCCTTTTCTTTTTCTCCGTCCGATATTGGCAAGCCCCAAGTCGTAGAGATACCCATTTCCATCCATCCGCTGTGAAAAAGGTAACCGTCGTGTACTCTCATGTTTCTGGGTTTCTTTTTGTTTTGAAATCTCTTCTTCTCCTTGTACATGTTGATTTTGAGGGTTTCATTTTATGAAGTCTTCGTCTAAAAATGCAAATTTTCTTCTGAATTAGGCTCCTTTCGTATCTACAATAGAAATGTAGTTAGATTCTTCTCGCTTTCGATTGGATCTATATGTTATCCTCTTTTTTGTTTTGGTTTGAGTTCTTATTAATATGTCAGATTGAGTAATGTTTTCCTTTGTATTGAATTACAGAAGAACCAAGTAGTATAATGGATCATTCAGCGAAAACCACACAGAACCGTGTTTTGTCAGTGAAGATGTGGCCACCGAGTAAGAGTACCCGCCTCATGCTTGTTGAGCGGATGACCAAGAACATAACCACCCCTTCCATCTTCTCCAGGAAGTACGGTCTTTTGACTGTTGAAGAGGCTGAGCAAGACGCCAAGCGCATTGAAGACTTGGCTTTTGCTACTGCCAACAAACACTTCCAGAACGAGCCTGATGGTGATGGAACTTCTGCCGTTCAGGTCTATGCTAAAGAATCCAGTAAGCTCATGCTTGAAGTCATCAAACGAGGTCCTCAGGAAGAGTCCGAGGTTGAGGTGAGCAAGGATGGGGATATCTTTTTTGATATATCTGGTGGGAGCAGAGCATTTATCGACGAAGAGGAGGCACGCGAGCTTTTGAGGCCTTTGGCTAGGCCGCATAACTCCTTTACCAAAATCCGTTTTAGCAACAGGAGTTTTGGCTCAGAAGCAGCCAAATTTGCTGCCAGCGTTTTGTCTTCCATCAAGGATCAGCTGACGGAAGTGGATCTCTCGGATTTTGTTGCAGGAAGACCAGAGGCAGAAGCACTTGAAGTCATGAATATGTTTTCATCTGCTTTGGAGGGTTCTAAGCTAAGGTATCTGAATCTCTCGGACAATGCTTTGGGAGAAAAGGGAATTAGGGCATTTGCTTCTCTCATCAAGTCTCAGAATGACTTGGAGGAGCTATATCTGATGAATGATGGCATTTCCGAGGATGCTGCACGTGCAGTTCGTGAGCTACTTCCTTCTACTGGCAAAATCAGGGTTCTTCAGTTCCATAACAACATGACAGGAGATGAAGGAGCAATCGCCATTGCAGAGATTGTCAGGCAGTGTCCATCGTTGGAAGATTTCCGGTGTTCATCTACAAGGATTGGTTCAGAAGGTGGTGTTGCGCTAGCTGAAGCACTTGAACACTGTAGCCACTTGAAGAAACTTGATCTTCGCGACAACATGTTTGGAGTCGAAGGTGGAGTTGCCTTGGCCAAGACTGTATCAGTGTTGAGTCATTTAACTGAGATCTATATGAGTTACCTGAATTTGGAGGATGAGGGAACAGAGGCACTCTCTGAAGCTCTACTTAAGTCTGCCCCTTCTCTTGAAGTTCTTGAATTGGCTGGGAACGATATTACTGTAAAATCTGCTGGAAATTTGGCAGCTTGCATCGCCTCCAAACAGTCTCTTTCAAAGCTGAATTTATCTGAGAATGAACTCAAAGATGAAGGGACTATCTTAATCGCAAAGGCAGTTGAAGGTCATGATCAGTTAGTTGAAGTTGACCTGAGCACCAACATGATCAGAAGAGCTGGGGCAAGAGCCTTGGCACAAACTGTTGTGAAGAAAAATACTTTCAAGCTTCTCAACATTAATGGAAACTTCATATCTGAGGAAGGTATTGACGAGGTAAATGACATGTTTAAGGACTCTCTTGACAAGCTTGTTCCTTTGGACGACAATGACCCTGAAGGAGAAGATTTTGAAGATGAAGACGAAGAGGAGGAAGGCGAAGAAGACAATGAATTGGAATCAAAGCTTGGAGGTCTGAAAATCAAACAAGAGGAGGAATAGGAGGAGGTAACATGATGTGATGCTTTTGTTGCTATGTAGGTAGGTTCAGTGTTATCTCTCTCCCTGGATTTGGTAAACCTAGTTAAGTAGGTATGTAAGGATCTAAGATTGTCTTCAGTTCTATTTCCTTGAAGCGAAATTGTTATCTTCATGTAAACCAGAATTGTTGTTGCTCTTTTGGTTATGAATATTTAAATGATCTTTTAGCTGAAATCATGTTCCTCTCATATGAGCCGTGGAAAAAAAGAGCAGTGTAGCATTAGAAGTTACAAATGAAGAAGAAACTTTATGGCCTATTTTGATCAAGCCGCCACTGGAGTTTTGAGGGCTTCGAGTATCTTATCGTCTAACTCAAACTTGATCTCTTTCTTGTCTCTGCCAATCTTCACATACTCTTCAAATCTCTCCTTGAGATCTTCAGGCAGATTCGTTTTACTTTCCCACCCTAATATCTCCTTTGCGGCTCTTGGCTCTGCGTAGAAATGCTGCGACCATACAAAGACAAGGTTATAAAACTAATAAATAAAGTAAAAGAAGAGCTTCTAATGGGTTTAGTTTACCATGTTTCTGAATGGAAAAGCCTTCTTGGCGTCAACCCCAATGGCTTTAGGGTCATAATGAACGATCTCAACTGTTTTGCCAGCAGCGGCAGCACAGAGCTTGGCCATACCGTCAAGAGTGACGGCTCTGTCGCTAACGCAGTTGAAGATGTTTCCGGATGCAGCCTCGGGGTTGGTCACAGCAGAAGTCAGCATCGAAGACAAGTCCCTCACGTGGGATATGTTGGTTAGCTGCAATCCTGATCCTGGGATTGGCACTGCTCTATCCCTCACAATCCCTGGGAACACATTTGAACCATTACTTGTTTTGTCTTGTGATGAAATCTTTGGGGATTGAGAGACTTACGGTCGAAGAACCATTCTTCGCAGTCTTTGTTGTTGCCAGAGCCGATCATGTACTGTGGTCGAAACGAGGCCCAGTTACCGAATGTTTCAGCTAAGTACTTCTCCACTCCCACGTGGCCTGCGTCAGCTTTAACTGCGTCCTGCACATTGGAGAAAAAGGAGACATAAGTGGTGAGAACTGAGAATGTTATGGTTAGTGTTTATTTACCCCTTCAACGTGAGGAGGTTGTTCGGTGGACTTGTAGATCCCGGCGCTGCTTATGAACAAGAATTGCTTCACGCCGGAGCTTTTAGCCCAATCCACCACTGGCCTATGTCCGACAAATCCAAAAGGATATGTGATCATCAATTCTCAATATCCATGGAACTTTTTTTTTAAAAAAACCTATGAGGCTCTCTAGTTAAATAATCAGACCTGACAGTATCCAAATCCTTGCCATTGTTGTCAAGGACAACGTCAAATGTTTCACCTCCGACCACATTGGCAACATCGGCAGGGTTTCCCCACACCGTCTTTCCTCCGCCACTGATAATTTCCTGTCAAAAGATCAAAGATTGCATCAGTCGGAATCAGATTCAAAAACTCAAAACTGGTGGAAATTTGTAAATCTTACGGAGAATCGGTTGAAAGGAGGTTTCTTCATCTTGTCGGAAGATTCATCGCCGACGGTCATGATGGTGACGCCATGTCCGGCGGAGAGAAGCTCTTTGGCGAAGTAAAACCCGATCACAGCGTGGCCGCCGCTGTTGGTGTTGACTATAAGTACATTCTTCTTCTCACCGACGGAGCTGGCCTTAACGGTAAATCCCTGAGGAGATAACCTTCGAGAAGTCCTCAGAGAGAATGTCAAGAGAGAAGCAGAAGAAGAAGAAGAGAGAGAGGAAAAGGAGGAAGATGAAGAGGGTAGAGAGAAGCGGTGGAGAGATGGCGGGATCAGGAGATTACTGATCGGAGAAGTTGTTTTGGAGGAGAAAAACAGAGTGGACGATGATAAAGCCGCCATTTTTTTGGTTGGTTAAGATTTACCTCACTCTGTTCTGACTTGAGGTTTGATCCTCAGAGAAACCAGAAGAAATATGTAAGGCTCTTGTACAAGATAACAACATCCAACGGTCGGTCCATTTCATCTCGCCTTTTATTTTATGTGATTGTTATATCACTACCATTTTCTAGATTGGGCCAAATAATTCAACTGGGCCCATTTATGCAATACGTGAGCATTTCTTCCCCTCTTTTTAATTCTCTCATGAAGACATTAAATTGTCTACATCTTGTCTCATTTGTGTCTTCATAACGATTTGTGGTTGATCCAAAAAAAAAAAGAAGGATTTTTTGTTCTTGAAAGTCGTCTTGTATATCTTCAATGAAAAATAAACAAATGTTAAGATTGGTTCCTCGAAGATGAGCCAAAAATCCAACCCACACACCTCAATCTTTTATCGCACTTGTATCTAATAACTCCAAAAATTCCAAGGTTGTTCAAAGTAGAATACTTGTATCTGAAAACTCCAAAATTCTGGTGTGAAGGAAGCGGAGATTTGAAGCCATCTACGAGAGTTTACCTTTATTCTATACAAAGAGATGAGTCGCTAAAGAAAAACATCAAGTATTTATTCGGTGGGAGCAAATCTTCAGGTATTCTTCCTTGCGGAATAAGCACGGTAAGCTGCCAATCCAGCAAACCCAACAGCTGTACCCACTGAAATTTCATATAATGAATAGTAAGCTTGGATGATGATTAAATGGTTTTGCTCAAGAAAAGGAAATATAGATCTTGTGAAGAAGACGAAGAACCTGAGACAAATAGAAGTGAGCTATTCACAAGTTGGCGAATATTCTTGCTTCTTCTTCCTGACTCTGTCTCTGGAATGCTCAAGTGAGGGTTCTCTGCTGTACTCACGATTCTTGAGAAGAGACTATTTGGCTCCCCAAGTTTCATGCTTAATGACACAGGGATGTCTATCCCCAATTCCATGCAAACCTGTTGTTATCCGATAATAGAATCATCAATCATACCAAGAGCATATAATCTAATCATATCAGGGTTAAGTGATGCATTACCCTATCAGACTCTTGCACTGACATTGGATATGGATCCAGATCATCTTTGGCCGCAACAAGAAGACAAGGGGTCCCATAACCGCTCTCTTCTCCCCTCCTTGCTAACTCCATCAGTATTTCCCTCGCCTTTTTCCATGAGTATACGTCCGAACTGGAAAACATCAAATTTTCTTGCTAAGTCTGTCATCTTGTCGTCCACACATACGGGGTGCAAATAATTTCTGAGCTAACCTGTCATAGACAACCACAGCAACATCACATGCTGCCAACGATTCCTTATTTGTCAGAAACTTTTTAACTCTGTCCTCTGGTATCTCCCGCAATATGAGGGTTTTCTTAGAACCCTGAAAAATGCGTCCAACAATTAGGAAACAAAAAACCACATTAACCATCCACATGTGACAAAGAACATAAGAGTTCAGACTTTTGCTACTAACCCCAGGCTGATCAATGACATTTGCTGCATATCGTTCAACTGTTGTTGCCTTATAGCTGTTCGAAAATTTCCTGGAGTTGAAACACAGCTTATAAAATATAACACGAGTAGACCAAAGGGCTGAAGATGACACAGCATAAGAATGATACATAGCAATTGTTAGAACTAGCATACCTTCCTAAGAAAGAATCGAGGAGTGCAGACTTTCCAGATTTTTTAGGACCAAATACAAAGCACTGAAACACATTCCTTTCTGTTCGCTGCTTCTTACGATCCACTGATCTTTTCCTAGTAACAGAAAATGTTGAAGCTGGGTCGTGACCATAACCGATATATATCAGGTTTGCCAAACTTTTTCGAGGATCTAGAAGAGTCATTAGAGCCCACTGCATCATCATATTAACAGAGCATAACTAAAAATCGTAAAGAATGTTGAATCTGTAATTGATCATGATGAGTTGATGACAATGAAAGCTTGATTCTAATTCAGTGTCAACATAACAGCAAGCATACAAACCTCAGACAGAAACCCATTGATTGTCAAACTTCCGCCTGGCGTTTTCTCTGCAGCATCTTTGTAAGGAGCCTCAAGCCAAGGACTGAAATCGTAAAGCAGATTGTACATGTAAACGAACTTATTCCGGAAATAATTACGTATTCATGTACAAGAGCATTAAAGACATTGACAGGCAAATTCAAAAGAAAGAAGGTTAATTCACTAAACAAACATTGATGAACAGTTGATAACTATCGATTACAAAGGGATGAATAGCAATGAATCACGCAAAAAAAAAAAAAAAAAAAACACCAGTACCTATCTGGAGCTGTTTGAAACAAATCATCTAGCTCAGCTGGCTGTAACGCTCCATCCTAAGTAGCAGCAAAACGAAGAAGCATTAGAGAACTACTACTGCTCCTTCAGGGTGAAATAAGCTTTTAGGTGATAGAGAACAACAGAATCGTTGTTGGATAATTGAAGAAACGATCATACACACATTATCAAGGTCATATAACTGGAAGATTCCACTGAGAAAGTCCATGGCTTCGTTTGTTAGCTCGATGCTCTGCAAGTGAAATACAGGAAATGAGTGCATAAATTATTTAAAAGCAACCAGCCAGTTTCTTATATCCTTTAAGTAACATAACAATTTAAAGATATTTTCATAGTTAAGCACTATCTAAAACAACACACACCTGATCAGGAGACTGCTTTGCTGGAACGGGTAGTAACTCGGCGCTGAGTTCTAAAGAATCATTGTAACCACATTTCCGTAGGATAGCCCATGCTGTCTCAGGGCGACCTCTCTCGATGAATAGAGAAAAAAGAAAAAGGAAACCCGGAAGTGTAAGACCAAGATCAGTTACTCCATCTGGTTGCCTTTCTTGTACCACATTCTTAACTCCCATAAGTTCAACAGGGTCAAGTGGGGCACCAAAACAATTTACCTGTTAACCAAATTTGCAGCATCATATTTATAGAAGGATTAGGAATTTCATGAATGCAATAATCAGTGTCTAACAGAGAAAGCGAACCTGAAAATCATTCAACTCTGCGTCATTAAGGGCACCATCCAAATCATGATCAAAGAGGTTGAATATCCTTTGTACTGCCCTGCGGAGGCGAGGTTTCAAACATTGTTTTTCTTGATCAAACAACGGAAATGTTGGGTGAAGGACCGCTTTTGATGCAAAATAGAAAACATCAGGGGCCTGAAAGAAAAGAATCCAGATATTTTAGTGGCATACAATAAGGATCTCTCTGGACATGGTTCAATCACATGGTTTTGCTCGGTCTTTCAGTATTATCTGCTCTAAAGGTTCCTAGTATCTTTTACAACATTTTCCCTCTTAGCCAAAAGATAATAGCCTAGTCTTTAAACTGTATCAGAAGATATTTCGGTCAGAGAACAAAAGCAAGAACATACCTGTATAAGGGTCAATGCAGAACACTCTATACAAGTTTCTATCTCTCTGTACTCCTTCATGATTGGTGCCATGATATCCTCTAGTCTCGCGGGAGATCGTTCATCCCGTAAATCAAGCTTGCAGCCCACCACAATTACTGGTGCTTTGATCTAGATACATACACATATATAATTATAACATGAAAACATACTTGAAGGAGAATGAATATACGATATTTCACCAATCAATCAGAAAACCTCTAAACGCCGGAGCTCAGGGAGCCAATAAGATTTTAAGCGATCAAGAGTTGCAGGCTGATCACATGCATAGGTGAGAATGACCACATCAGCCTTCCTGAATTCTTCAATGAGCTTAATCCTATTGTCAATACTGATAGCAAATAAACATGACAGATATCAGTAGATTGAGGATCATGCGTACAAATTCAAATCAATGAAACAATGAAGGAGTGATATTTCACAAGGTTTGCGACCATTGACAATCTTGGATAACAATACAAAGAAAATTTGCAAATACAGATAGAGAAGGGAAAGGAAGAAAGAAGACCTTGAGGGAGTATCGACAATGGTGATAGGTATATAGTCAGGGAAAGCGTCGGCGGGGAGAGTAATCGGAGGAAGGACGCGAGGGACATTATCCGGGAAAGTTGCGGAGGCGACGGCAGAGATCAGGCTAGATTTACCGGTTCCTTTGTCGCCAGCGACGGCGACTCTGAGGCTTGTACGGCTACCGGTAGAGGACTTTCCACCGAATCCACCGAGCATCATCGGAGTCGGAAACTGAGAGAGAGAGAGAGATTAGAGAGGAAATTGGCGGTTATTGTTTCGGAGATGAGATTGATCTACCAACGATGTTTGTTACTTGCCGGCCGAGAATGGATGGTCCATATATCTATTCGGGTTGACCCGCCACGTGCTCCGCAAGCTCGAGGAGTTATATCTTCGCCATCACGGATCTTCCAGTAGTCATAATGGGCCTTTCCATATTCAGTTTCAAGAACCACCACCACAAGTGATTATGTAGCTATTCACTATACGATGCCGTTTTAGCGGTTACGCTTTTAAATTTTTTAATACATCAATTACAATTTAACTTACTGTTTTTTTTTTAAATCAGTTTTCTCACTATGCACTGTTATTGCCATTTATCTCCATATTTTTCTTTATTTATATTGATATTACACACTACTGGCTTGTAGATATTGAGGTACATAAATTCATTAAGCAGAGCATAAACAATGGAGCTCAATTTAGCATGTTTTACTACATTTGAACTTTCCTTAACCGACTTTTATATTCTTTGCGCTTGGGAATTTAGCCAACCAAACTTGTATTTTCCTTATTATTTCTTTTTCATTTTTCTTGTGGTCAATAATTTACTTTTTATTCTTTACACACGATGTTATTTATATTTTTTTTTTGTATTTTCTTATAATTATCAAAAAAATTAAACAAGTGCCAATCAGTCATTTTATAGAAAATGATATTATGTTGCAAGTTAGAAACTAATTTTTTTATATTTTTATTGTAAAGTAAAATGTATACAACTTTCAGTCATAAGATTGAATATCAAACTGATATTACCAACAAAAAGAAAAAAAATCCGAAATGACTCATAAACAAGAATTTTTTTTTAACCAAGATTATTTATTACCAACAAAACCCAAGACAATTAGGAAAATAAAACCAATTACATCGTATTGATTTTATTATTCCCTGTCGGGATTTTATTTAAAAGGGGAAAGGGAGATAAATAAAAAGCATTATCAAAGCAGTAAAAACGGAACGATATTACAAAAGAAACACAACATTTGCTTAGTTTCATTAAGAAAACTAATTAAGACATCTCTCTCCCGCAGAGGCTTATTTTTAAAAATTCTGACCATATTCAGGGGACCGACGGGGGAGGAGCGGTGGCATCGTCGGAATCGGATTTGTCCTTTGATGAGCTCAGCTTCTTGAACAATGGCTTAAACACGAGCTCTATCGCCAACAGTCCCACTGCCAACACTCCCACAACAACCGTCGCTGTCTGTTTCTTGCCTGTTGGTTTCTCCAGTTTTGGGAAATGGACTTCTCCTCCTGACTTCTCCACCATTGCTGCTTCTTCTTCTTTTTTCACTGAAACACCCTCTGTCCTCAGACTGATTTATCTTCAACAACTTTAAAAGAAAATAAAAGCAGCGATAAATTTCAAAATATCTCGAGTGGTCACGTTTTCGACCGTCGATGTAATAATTGACGGTCAAAATTTGGTGAGAGGAAAGGTAGTCGCTAATGCATCAATTGGGCCCAATATGGGCTGAGTTGGGCTTCTTACTAGAAAACAAATCTCGGTGTCATGAATAAGACAAGTTTGGTTGATTCTAATTTCTAAATGAATCTCAATCGAACAAGGAAGATAAGAGTACGCAAATAGTGGACCTCTCATGACACATCCTCCTAATCTTTAATTGGATTTTGATGAAACAAAACGAAGTCAGACCCCTTTTTCAATTTCTACTCTAGCTTTCTCAAGATATTTTTCATTAATGGAATCCTATTCTTATTAAAATATATTATTTATTTTTAGAAAGTTACACATGCTGATTTTGTGACTCGTGATAATATCTCCCAAACATTTTAGCATAAAAGGAAAATAAAGCGAGGGTAAAGTATCTATCGTCGGCCTGTCTAAAAATGAGCAAAAGAAAGCCCAAATAGATCCTTTCCGGAACATGAAAGCCTTTTAGTAAAACGAGGAAAGCCCAAATAGAGCCAGTCCGGAAGAGTCGAGGTCACGTGCAATACAGGTGTCAATTAAAGCAGGAGTTATTGTCGCTGAATCATATCAATGGCGTGTGAAGAAGTGTTAGAATGCTAAAAGAAGAAGAAGAGTGTAACAAACAACTAAAAAAGTTAGTGAACTAACTTACAACACTCACACCAAAAGAAGATGGTTTCGTTTCGCTTCCCTTTCTCGTTTTCTCAGCCCCCGCGTGCCACGTCGTCATTCTCCGGTTTCTCCATTTCCGCTGTCGCTGTCTCCGTCACCGTTGGCGCCGCAGCCGCCGGAGCTGCGATCGCGGCGTCGCGGAATCCCAATCATCCGATTGTGGAGTGGGCCTTATCCTCTCACCGTTCGTCTCTGTTACCATGGGGATCTATAACTCTAGCAGACTCTACCCCCGAATCCGTTGTTGAACCTAAGACAGGTTTCTCGTTTCCCGCTTCAATTGGAGATTCCCGGCGATTACTCGGCGTCGGCCTGAGGAAGAAGAGCTTACTGGGATTGAAGAACATCGATGTCTACGCCTTCGGTAACTTTTAATCAATTTCTGAATCTGTTAGTTGAAATGTCCTTGTCCGTCGTGATTAGCTGATTGCTATTTCCCAAATGCAAATATTCGGATTGGTAGGTCTTTAATTGGAATTGGTGAGAGCTTTGTACTTGTCGGAAATCTAAGTAACAGATCTCACTTTTTGTCATTACGAATTGCTTTCAACAGAAAAGGTTATGTTTTGGAATCATTCAATTGATTTGATTGAGCTTTTCTGGCATCGGGCAGGCGTGTATGCTGATTGTGATGATGTGAAGAAACTTGTGGGAGACAAGTACGCAAATCTTCCAGCTTCGGAGATCAGGGGAAACAAGGCATTCATGGATGATCTCATGGAATCCGATATTAAGATGACTATAAGGCTGCAGATTGTCTACGGCAAACTCAACATCCGATCCGTGCGCAATGCTTTTCAAGAATCTGTTGGAAACAGACTCAAGAAGTTCGGTGGCTCAGACAACAACGAGTTGCTTCAAAGGTACTAGAACACTTACATTTCAGCTTCGTTTTGCAAGATAAAGCATATTATGATCGTTGCAGTCATCAGATTTTTGTTTAGCAGCTGAATTAAGTTTACTTTGATTGTCACTTGTAGCTTCACTAGCCTCTTCAAAGATGAGTACAAGATCCCAAGAAACTCCACCATTGATTTGACAAAAGAACCAGGTCATGTACTCTGCGTTGCAAGTAAGATTCTATCTATCTTTTAGCTTCTCAAGTAAATTGTTTCCGAGAGATTCTAAAACTCTTGTCTTTTTTCTTTTTGTTTGGTTAGTTGAGGGAAACCACGTGGGGAGTGTGCAGAGCCAACTCTTGTGTAGATCAATCTTAGACTTGTACATTGGTGAAGAACCGTTTGATAAGAATGCAAGAGAAGATTTTCTAGACAATGCAGCTTCTCTAGCTTTCGACAACTAGTTCACAAGAAGAAGAAAAACAATGTTGCTATCTTTCTTAAACGGATTCTCTATATATACGGCATATTGTTGAGGAATGTATTTGAAATAAATTGCTTGGAGAAATGGGTTTTGTTAGTCTAAATATCTACACTAGAGTCTAGACCAATCATAATGATATAACAATCGACCCCATAAAACATTAAACAATTTAGATACCGACCGAAAGCGTTCACTCCCTAGAGAAAGAGAAGAGGTGTACTTTTACTAAGCACTAGGGTATTACCTCATCTAGGAATAGCCTATTCGAAGCTAGACACTGCAAAAATGGTGGCTTTAAACGTCTGCTTCAATGGAACTAGTACTTTAGCTCAGACAAATGACCCGGGCACGAAGTTATAATAGGTGGCACGGTCCTTCCACAAACGGGAGAGGTTTTCTGGGACGACCCGGACGCTGAATTCTCTGTCTGTTCCCGTGACAAAGGAACAGGTGATAATGGCAAGGCTTTGCTATTGCTGACCTTAGGGTTTGCTGCTTTGCCATGTGAAGCATACCCAGTGACCGAAGAAGAAGAGCCACCAGATCTCCCCTGTTTCCCCTGAGAAGGCTGCGGATTTGATGGTGCTGCAAAAGAAATCTGTGTCTGTCCGTGAGTTCTGGTCTGCTGCTGCGACTGGAACTGCTTGAGGTTTAAGGAAGTACAGGACGTGAGTGATGATGAGGTTGCAGGGTTTTTCCACTGGGATGACGGGGCAGAAACAGAGTCAGCCTGCGAATGAGTCATCATTTTACTCCGACCAGATTGCTGCTGTCTCTGCGTAAGATGCTGGGTAAACACTGAAGGGTCTCCATTTATTGCTGTTGCTGCAGGAGGAGGCCAAGTACCAGAAACAAAGTTGAGGGTTCTCGATGGATTGTCAAAAACCAGCGTCTGTCCATTCATCATCCCTGGAGGCTTCCCTGGAAGATTCTTTTTCGGGTCTTCAGCATTGCTTGAACAGCTTCCACCTCCAGTCTTTGCCTCACTTGATTGATGGTTTTTCTGGTGAGCAACACCAGGAGGTGTAGAGATGATGTGATACCCATTGGAGGAGAAATTCAGAGTTGCAGGGGCAGCACTGTTGGCGAAAGACGCAAACGACATGGAAAAGTTTTGTGGTTGAACAGGCGCTGTCATGATCTGGCCAAATGGGCCTCCTTTCTGAGTGTGGCTTCCCCTTGAATCAGTGTTATCTCCAGCTGCTTTAGCCTCAGACTTTTGTGACATTTGACGGTGTTGTTGAACATTAGCTTGGCTTGAAAGACTATTCACACTAACTTGCGGTTGCAATTGCCTGTGGGATGATGAGGAACAGCCTGAAGCCTTTGACTCCCTTTGGGCTTGACTCTGTCTCTGCAGAGGCTGAGGATGTTGTTGGAACATCTGCGGCGAGTAAAAAGACCCATTGTAGAAAGGCACCGCCTGGCTTGGAGTCCCACCTCTGATGGTTGATGACAGTTGAAAGGAATATGCATTGTTTGGAAGAACTGTAAAATATGGAGAAGAAACTTCGCTGGCTGATGAACTTGGATGGGTGAAGTTAACAGATGCTGAACCAACAGCCACACGTGGGCTCTTTGTTGGGCGAGAAGATTTAGAAGGTACCATGACTGGTTGCAAATGGTGGTTTGCGGGGAAGATGAAAGCTGGAGCAGGCTGTGTTAAGAGAGAAAGATGATTTTATTCAGGAGAGCACTTTTGCAGTTTCAATAAAAATCTAATATGATAAACACAAATTCATGACAAGATAAAAAGCCAAGGAACTACATACCACTACACTAATTGATGCAGGGGGTGGTTGAGGTTTATTCTGTCTGGTTGAGGCAAAATGACCACTTTCAGAGGCTTTATCCTTATGCACAGAAATATTATCTACGATTCTATCGTGTGCCTGGGAGTTTAAACTGAGAATAGGAGAGCTTCCTTGCAAGGATGGGTTTCCAGCGGCTGGCCTCAAGTCACCACCTTTCAGATAAACAGAACCTTTGCTTGGTGTAGAGAGATGGTTTGTTTTGACGAAATGCTGATGTAGCTGAATGTTCCGAGCAATGAAAAAGTGTGTGGCACACCTTTTAGGCCTAGGCTGAGAGGCAGAAAATAGAGCACCCTGAATTTGTTAACAAATCATGGTCCGAACCAGTAGAAGAAACAATGATCATCATATATGAAGAACAAATGTAATTAGAACAGAATATACCTGCACCAAAGTAGAAGATCCATTGCTCCCATCCACAGGTTTACCGGTCTGGGGTACATATCTGCCAATGTTTTTTCATTTAGGGTCTGACCATTAAGCTATAGCACAAGACAACCTACGACAACAGATTAGTGCATTCAGAACATACCCCCGAGGAGGAACCCCGCTAGGCGAGCTGCCTACAGCTACTGGCAAAGGTAAGACTGAACTCTGCTGAGCTGAAAATAAGTTAGAGATAGGTCAGACAAGGTAAATCTGTGTATCCTAGAAAAATCATCAACTTTAATAACAAGAACTTGGTTTGGTATTCATAATCATATTCAAGGTTGATTACCAGATTTAGCCAGCTGAGGTTGGCTCCAATCCAAATTCTGTAAGCTTAAATTAGAGTCTCTGCCGGTCTCTTGGTTGGGACCCTCTATATCAAGATTCAGCCATTCACGTTTTTCAACCTTCTTCTGTTTGACTTCTTCTGGAGACTTGACAGTAACATTCTCTTTGCTCTTTAGAGAACTATCTCGCTGCATTAAGCAAGAGAGAAGCAGTGTTATAAATAACCAAATGGGGACATGCTTAACAAAGCAACCTATTTAAATCTACACTTGCCTTGCAATAATCAGAAACCAGTGGAAGAAGAGAAACTCTCCCTGGCGAGGAAGGCATTGTTGGAGGAACCTATTGACAGGACAACGATCGTTACTACATTTGGGCAGCATTCACACACACTCTTTATAGCTAAAATCTAAAAGGGCTAGATTTCTCACCATGAGATCCATATCGAGCTTACTACTACTAGAATGACTCTCAAAATCTTTGTTGTTTTCCAATTGTGGACCATGTGAAACCCTGGAGACCCAAAAATAGAAAAACAGATATCAGATTTCCAAACATGGATAAAAAAACACAGAATATCTAATTGTTGATCTATTTACCCTTTTGACACCTCCGAATCTAGCCTCTCTTTATCTTGCCTTGGTTCTTTCTCCTTGTGAATATCAGCGAAGACTACTAACGATGTTTTAGTTCCGTTGGTAGATTTATCAATGTTGGCTGAATCGATTCTCGCTTTACAAGTGATTAAACCGCAAATCTCTACACCTGCAAAATAGGCAATGATATATTAGTAAAAAATTCTGAGATTGAATAAACACAAAGAACAGTGCAAGTATACCTTTAACCTCCGATGATTTTTGGAAATTCTCCGAATCGTTTCCTCTCTTAGAGATATGAGGCTGCTTTTTCAATCCGGAGAGCACCTCTGCTATTTCGATCTCCAAGTCGTCCTCAGCCGTGCCGGAGGATTTCGGTGGCTTGGGTATCCGGGATTTGGATCCGTTTACAATCTGGGCAAATCGGAAAAAAAAAATGAAATTAGACCGAATCATTTCTGTATTGCTGATGTAGAGAAGTGAATGGACCCCACCTTCTGCTTGACGGAAAGAGTTGAAGAAGACGGTGAAACAACTTCAAAGCTATGGCTTCCCGGAGAAGATGGAGGTCTTTGCCGGTCTTCTCTAAATCCTCCTCCACCGCTTCCCGAGGAAGTCCGGCAGTCATGCGACCTCTTTATACATGCTGCAACCGCCACAAACAGAAAAATTCGGAGGTTAAGAGATCTCGAAAATGCGAATTTAAAACAAAAAAGAATCAACTGAGCTCAAACCTGAGCGAGCCTTTCTCGGGACAGCTACGCCGATCATTTTATCGGTGACCTTCAAAGACGCCGCATGCCTGGGGATTCGACCCGACGGGAAGCTCTTCCTCTGATGATTTTGCTGAACATCTTCGTCTCCTTGACTATCATCCGAGCTATCTTCTTCCACATCTCTCTCGTTCCTCGGCGCGAACCTCTCGCTTCTTCTCCTCTTACTCCGATTGAACGATTCCGGATCTCGCTCTTTCTTCCCCGGTCGATCTCTCACCGTCGCCACCTCCTGATGCATCTGCTCACGACTGTTTTCTGAAACCCAGGAACCAAACAGAAAAAAGCTCGTCAGAAAATCGAAAAAAATCAAGGTAGAAAAAAAGGAGAAGGAGAACGAAGCAATACCTGAGAGTCTCTGTCTCCGTTTTGTTACTCCATTTGAGGCAGCCATGGTTGTCGTTGATCTTCGAGCTTCTCTGGTTTTATCCATTAATGCAAGCTACAACGACTAAGCTCCCATCAACTAAGTAAAATCTTTCACTCCTTCAAAGTTTTGAAGCTTTCTTCTCTGTATATTTCAGTTTCAGTGCTCTCGTCGTCTCCTCCTCCTCCAATGTTTTGTGCACAGAAAAAACCTACCCCTGGAAAAAGCAAGTAAGAGAGACGGTTCAAGATCTTCAATGACCAGAATGCCTCAATCCTAGCCGTTGGATGTTACCGTGATTTGGACGGCTGCGATCTCGAGGTGCCAGCATGGCAGAAACGTCACTTTCTTATGGAATAAAGCCACTGCTCAATGTTTAGTCACACATTATTATTATACTAATTCATTATATATTCTATGACTTTGCCTTTTATTTTGTTTTTTTAATACGAGTCCATCATGTATAATAATTATCGATTTCTTGTGCCCACCCAAAGACATATAATTATAATATGTTCATGGCTGTATTTTAATATTATTTCACTCCATGATCGTATTAACAAATCTTATTATATAAAAAAAGAGTGCACATTTTAAAAGATCAGATTTTTGTAATTTTTATATGAAGGTTAACAGCTGTACTACCAACCACGCGCGATCCATACGCGTGGGAACGACACCCACGTACCATTGTAATTGAAAGTTTTTGTCTTTGAGACACTGTTTATTTTATAGTATCTTTCTATTTATTTTAATTGATATGCAATTTGAAATAACTGCAATAAAATTTTAGATTTTTTAAAAAACTGATATACAACGATAGTATCGTAAAAACATATTTACACATTGATCCATGAATGTTATTAAATAGAAAAAAAAAATTGGAAAAGTGATTATTTAATAAAAGTACAAAGTATGTAGCATATTTGGATGACTGACTGACTGGTCAGTGCGAGTGTGCGACAATGCTGAATGTGAATGCTGCTGATGCCACCACAAACCGAAAACGCTCTCTCTAATGGGTCGTTCTTGCCACGGGCACACGGCGAGTACAGAGGAAACGTACCCACGCGAGACTTACTCTTTCACATTCATAGTGCCACGGGTCGAATAAGCCAAAGATCCACGGTGATTCGCTCTCTCATGGGATGGACTCATCATCATTAGATTACCGTTGGCCACGCCACAAGCATAATATATAACGTCATCAACTAACCACATTTTTTTCTTATTTTGTATTCCACTTTTGTGTATGACTGGGTCCAAACGACTTAAATCATATCAAAACGAGCTTTAACTTAAATTTAATGTAAAAAGATTAAACAACTTAAAAAATCGAATGAATTAAATAATTGACGAAGATATTGCAACTTAAACAAACGTATCAAGATTAAATTAAATATTCGTCTAGAGACTAGAGCTACATGATGGTATATGTATATCATAATATCAACTTTGAATTTAATTATCGTTAAGTGTTGACTGACGAACGGTGTCTTATGCAATTAAATGAAGAGAGAATCAAAGTAAATACTATAATCATGTTACTAAACTATTTTTAAAGTTCTTTTGTAGTGTTTTGACCCTACCATGTATTATATACTCCCTCCGTCCCACAAAGATGAATGTTTTAGAAAAAAATTTTGTCCCACAAAGATAGAAGTTTTGGGTTTCCAATGTCAAATTTAATACAATTTACCTATTTTACCCTCATTAAACAACAATAAATAATATATTCTTTAAAATGTATTAAATGATTAAAAAGTTAAAATTGTCATTATACATTATTTCTTAAAGAATGTGAAATTTCTTAAAAATCTATCTTTGTGGGACGGAGGGAGTAAACACAAATATTAAAAGAAGAAACTTATATTGAAACTTTGAAAGCACAAATTAACGAAAGTTTCGTTGGAGTTCCGATGTAAGGAATCCAACATCTCAGCCACTTGTCATATACTATAATAGTCGATGCTTTTGTTTAAAGATAGTATAATAATTAGTGACATAAAATGTTTTCTAATTGTGCCAACAGACAAATTAAAATATACTCTCCCATGAAGCCTACTAATTAAAATATTCATCATGGGTTTAATCCTCGGTTTATGGGATCACTTGTTAACTCTTTAGAATATTAATATTCTTAAGAAATCTATATGCAGTATTAAATAACACACCACTATTATTGATGCATGCATGTCTTACAAGTAACAACCACGAATAAACTAATTGTCATTTTTGGGACTTTTTAGTATTAAAATCAAGATCCGCATCCGTTTGCTATAACAGGTGAGTGTATAAAACGTGAAATTGTCACATTGTTCTCAAATTGAAAGATTTGAAAATTGAATGGATAAGTTGAATGATAAATATAGCGATCTATTTTTAAGAAATTAAAGAATTAAACAGTTGGTACTATGTAATGTAATAGCATTTTAGTGACGAAATAAAAAAAAGAATTTAATCATTTTAAAATTTTAGCAGGGTTCAGGTTCGGAGAAGTCAAATTCGCCAGCTACGAAGGGAAAAACGTGAACTATACAATTTAATCGACAATTAAATAATTCGATGAGTTATATTTTTAATTAATTTTTTAACCACTGATCCCAACTTTCGATGCTTTGCAAGCATAGAATAATGGTAGACAAACATATTTTGGGTTTGACGGACTTCTCAATGCGGCGAGGTGTGACTGACTATAATAAGAAAATGCATTTGAAGTGGCCGTCTCCAATAACCTATTTTATCAGATTATAATACAAGGAACATCTTACTTTAATATTGTAATACCTACTTTTTAATTTTCAGTTCCAAACCCAATAAGCCAAAAATAAGATTTGATAATTGGGTGCTGAACCAAATTAACAAGAGTTTTTTGCTGTACAAAGAGGATCCTTTAATAAAGAAACAAAATATCAGAGGCTTCTTCTAAAATTTTTGCAACCGAAAATAGTGACTTAAACAAAGTTGCTCTCAATTCCCAAAAGACATTCTTGTACCCCAAGAAACACAGAGAAAATAGTAAAGGATTTTACCAGATTGTAGAATTATGTCTCCTCCCCTAACAACCATTATGGTCACACCTTCATCAATTCCTGTGGATTCATATACGTGTGTAGTAATTAATGGCTAATCAATCTACAAGATGGATCAAATACAAAAGTAGACCAGAGCCATTGACACAAAACTGATACCTTCTCTTTCTGTTTGTAGAGCTCCTCTATCTTCTTCATGTATACATCAATTAGTTTCTGCCATTACCAATAACATCAAAGTTTAGTCAGCCACACATACCTATCAAATAATCAAGCTCTCTCTCTTTTTGTTTTATCAACAACACAAACTCTTGTGTGGTTGGTTTACCTGCAAATCACTTGACAAATCCTTCACATTGTCTTCTGAGAGCTTCTTCTCCTGCAAAAATGAAGCTTCACTTTTAACGAATAAGATCACAAGGAATAGCCAACAAGAAAAAAATAAAACTAAAAAAGCCTCGGCACCTTTTCGAGTTTATCATAAGATTTCAAGGCATCTCTCCTAATGTTCCTCAGTGCAACCTATAAGAATCCAAATACGAAAAAAAGAAGGGCTGAAATAAAGGAACATGAAGTTTTAGCACACCCTTATGCACCCTAAAAGTAACTAACTTTTGTGGACAATATTGAAAATCCCAAATACGTTTTAGTCACACTATAAAGAGAAGGCAAACATTACTACTGACCTTCCCTTCTTCAGACTGTTTTGCAACAACCTTAGATAGTTCCTGCAGTGGTACAATTATAAGGTAAGGCAGCATATTGAAAATCCATATCGATTCACCAGAAATTAATTAATAGGCTTGCCAGGAAGAGATACCTTTCTTCTGTCAGATGTGAGGGGAGGCAAGGACAGTCGAATGACATCTCCATCGTTATTAGGGGTCACTCCAAGATCAGAATTCACAATAGCCTTCTCTATAGCCTTCAAGCTGAAAGCATTGGGATGTATCATGAACCGACCAAGAGAAAGCAGACGTGAAAACTCTTGTACAGAAAACTCATCGGTCATGTACCTGGATTTGTCATATGGTTGCAGCAAAAGAGAACTCCCATCGGGGGTACTGATTTGGGCAATGCTTTTCAAACTTACTGGACTGCCATAGTATTCCACCTGAGGAAGCAGAGATCAAAACATCAAGTTATACATATGGAACCAGATTTGGCAGCTGTAAATCTAAATACCTCAATCTTGTCAAGCATTGCTGCATTGGCTCTCCCTGTCCTTATGGAGTTGAAACTCGTCCGAAGCGTTTCAATGGTCTTCTCCATCTTTGATTTCTGAAGTGCACAAAACAAAAACCAGAATCACATCCAAAGTAGTGATTCCTCGTTTTCCACTAAACAGTAACCAAAAGTTTTTAAAATAACGTACAACATCAGTCTCAATAGCAGACTTCTCTGCTTCTATTTCTTCAATAGTAGCAGACCTTATCACCAATCTGGAATTTCCAAACAAGAACATCCGGATTAGAGAAATCAGCAAACCCTAAAACTCCACATTAGTTTCCTAATAAGTGGAACCTGCCTCTTTTGTAGAGACCGCTTGACAACGGGGCCAACGGAGAGACTGACGCCAGCCCCGAGCGGAAGCTTGTCGGTCTTTAACGAACACGCAATTAAGCGTGCAGAGGGACATCTCGCCGAAGCGATTATCCTCAAACACGAATCTATCAATGGTGTAGATAACATTAACCAACAAAGATTTCGAGCCAAATAGATAAGACAGGACAGTGAAGAAACAAAAATCGAAGGCCGAACCTGGGAGAGAGAGGAGAGACTTGGAGTAGTTCGCTCTGAATTGAAGAACCGGTTTCGTGGGAGCAGTGGAAGAGAATGAAGCCGCCATGGCAGTAGCCGTAGAGGTGAAGTGACTAAACTAGAAAAGACCTTTCGTAGGTTCGTCAATGAAATTGAAAGGGAGGGAGACGAAGAAGAATGACCGAATTGTTCGGGATAAGGAACGCTAGCTCTGTTTGGATGGACGGCTAACTATAATCCCTTCAGGGATATCTTTCAATTGGGCCTTAATGGGCTCAACTATCGACAACTATCGACCCAATATCCAGCGTAAATGACACGTGGACGGCTCGATCCCGGCATGCAACTCTATTCTAGTCTACAAATAAATACCAATCAGGTCCATGCAAATTTCCTCCCAAGTCTTTTTCAAAATCATAATATTGTTTCCACACACCTACCGATAGTGTCTTCTGTTTTCTATTTCTTCGTTATCGGAAAAGAATGAAATTGGGATTTTCTTGGGAAAAGTTCTTGTGTTCAATTATTATGGTGGTGTTGATAATAATGGGTATGTTAGGAGAATCAGTGGCGTCGGTCCACAAGGTGGGTGGATCTGCCGGATGGACCATTCTCGGCAAAGTCGACTACAATACAGGGGCGGAGGCAAAGCTTATGGAGTGGGGTCAACTGACCCCAACAAAGTTTAATTACTCTTTATGTTTTTTGATAAAATGTGAGATTGACCCCACTGAAAATTTTACATTGACCCCTATAAATCTAACTTATACATATCTTTTACTTAAAAGAATATCCAAAACCCACATTTTTGAGCTAAAAATATATTTAATCCTTTTAAATTGAACCCAAATCAATAATACAGTAATTTAGGTCTCGTAAACTTCTTAAAATTTGGGTTTATAATTATAGAAAAGTTGCTTAAGAAATAGTATATTTTGTAATTTTTTGTTACATATAATTTTGACCCCAATAAAAATTGGTTCTAGCTCCGCCACTGCTACAATAAATGGACTTCCTCCGATACTTTCACCACCGGAGATTCTCTATGTAACGTCACACAAACATCTAAACGTTTTCTTTTTTCTGTTTAGAGTTTATTCTAATAACTTTGCATGGTTTATTATACTCTACAGTATTTGTGTACAACCGCCAGTTTCACAACGTGAAGCAAGTGAGCCGCCGTGATTTCCTCTCGTGTAACGCCACGTCAGCAATGGCCACCTACACTTCTGGCTCCGACACAGTGGCTCTTACAAAACCCGGCCACTTGTACTTTCTCTGTGGCTTCCCTGGCCACTGCCAAGCCGGGCAGAAGCTCCATGTCCTCGTTGCCGCCGCCATAGTCAGTCCCACCCTCAGCCCAGCTTTTGCCCCTGTTCCGTCACCTTCCACCGGGTCGTCTTCGTCTCCCTCTCCAGCCACGGCTTCCAAAGATACCGCTCAAAATGATGCCGTTTTGTTGTCAATGTCAGCGGTTTTGACTTCAACATTGAGTAGTGTTGTCGTGTTTTTGGTAGCATTGGTCTATTATTGATTGAGAGATTTTTTCACGTTTTGTTTTTGTTATGTTTCCCTAATTTTCATCTTTGTGTGTGATTTACTTTTACTTTTCTACCTATAGCCACTTCCTATTGTTATTTCTTTTTGAAAATTTTATAATGATTAAAGTATTCGGTATGATTATGGTCTTATGTTGTCGGTAGATATGCAACGGTCGCGTGGTTTCTTCATATAAGAAAATATTATCCAGTGTTGTTTTTACTATTTGTGTCATTATTGTTTGTAGGTGAATATAAAGTGATGTACATAGAGCATAAACTGATTTTTTAGTCAAAACCAGATGAAATTACCAAAAAAAAAAAAAAAAAAAACGGATTAACTTATGCTTGCGAAGAAATAGGATGAATGAACTATACATGGTAGGCCATATTGAAATGGGGTTGAGCCTAAAAATTTGGGCCTGAGCCCATGATACTTGTGTTTGGGTTGAATGTGCGATGATCAATAGTCTGATTTGTACCGTGGTAGAAGAAATGTAAACCTAAAAGGTTTTTAATTCTAACATATTTATGTCATGGTCCAAATCAAAGCGTAAATTGTCATATAGGGTATTAAATACTATATTAAATGAAATGGTGCATTGATATCATCATAAACTATTTATAATACTTTTGCCGGTTCGACGTCGATTCCACGTCCTTCATTTATTAGGGATAGATATAAAGACGAGTTAATAGGCATTTAATTAAAAAGAGATTAGTAAGAAAGAAGAGGCAACAATGTGATTAGCGGGAGCCGAGCCGAGGTTCGCGCTTACTCCTTGACCTTCGTACTGACATGCCTACTCACACGTGCGAGAACAGTCCTACCACCCCCCCTTCCATTTTATTTTTAATTCTGAATGTACTTGATTTATGTTCTTTTAAATCGTGAATTAACCCTTACTTATTTATGTATCTAGTAGTAAGTTTTTAAGTTCTTAAAAAATAGATTAATACATGTATAGTATAATTTGTTTGGCAAAAATAAGAAAACTAGAAAAATGTCTCAAATACATGTCGCATTCTTTGTTTAGTATACCATATATTTTGTTATAAACAAACAAAAAAATATAAGCTGCCTCAAAAAAAAGATATGTCAAAATAAGATTCATTCACTACGGCTAAAAAAAAAAAGAAAAATTGAGTTGACAAAATTAAGTTATTTAAAAGATAATAATATGTCATGGGATGTTACCAAAATTATATGCCCAAGGAAGAAAAGAACTAGAGAAAAGACGTTTCCCTCTTATGTTAATTTTATTTGTAATTTTCTTCAGAGAATTATATCATTTTAACGGTGGGAAAATAAAGAAACAAAATAAATCCTTGTAAACGATGGAAAAAAAATTAAACAAAAAAAAAAAAAGAGAAAACAAACTGTGCATCGTCAGTGGGAGTATATAACTACCACCACCCACTCACCATTCCGGAATTATCTCTGAATCACTCATAAACCCTTTCTTCTTCTTCTTCAAATCCACTCACTCTAGGAGAGAGACGACTCAAACGCACAGTCTCTCCTGATCTGTATTGTATTTACTCCTATATCGCTGTGAGAAAGAGAGAGCGCGCGCATTCCCACCAATTAATGCCTCTCTGCTCCAAACCGTGATACTCTTTACCTTGTTTCTTTTGCCTTTATCCTCTGCTTTGTGTTATTTTGTTATTTTCTTATGGAGATGGATCTCAGCAAGGTTACTCTTGACATCTTCACAAAGCTTGAACAGAAATGGCTCTCTCACTGCGACACCTCCAGGAAGACTCGTATCCTTAGCATCGACGGTGGCGCTACCACTGCCATTGTCGCCGCTGCTTCTATTCTCCACCTCGAACACCAGATCCGCCTTCTAACCGGTGACCCTCACGCTCACATCTCTGATTTCTTCGACATTGTCGCCGGAACTGGCATCGGAGGTATTCTCGCCGCCCTCCTTGTTGCCGACGACGGCTCCGGCAGGCCGATGTTCACTGCCAGAGACGCGGTTCAGTTTGTCACGGAGAAGAACTCGGAGCTCTTCGAGATCAGGTACACCGGCGTTTTCAGGAGGAACAAGAGATACTCGGGGAAGAGCATGGAGAGGGTGTTGGAGGCTGCGTTTCGGAGAGAAGACGGGAAGGTGTTGACGATGAAGGACACGTGTAAGCCTCTCCTTGTTCCTTGCTACGACCTCAAAACCTCTGCTCCTTTCGTTTTCTCACGCGCCGGCGCGTCTGAGTCTCCGAGCTTCGACTTCGAGCTGTGGAAAGTCTGCCGTGCCACGTCGGCAACACCTAGCCTCTTCAAGCCGTTCAATGTGGTGTCGGTGGACGGTAAAACCTCATGCTCAGCCGTAGACGGCGGTTTGGTGATGAACAATCCAACAGCAGCTGCCGTGACGCACGTGCTACACAACAAACGAGATTTCCCGTCAGTTAACGGCGTGGATGACTTGCTTGTACTGTCGTTAGGAAACGGTTCATCGACCATGTCATCTTCAGCAGGGAGGAAACTCCGTCGTAACGGAGACTGTTCAACGTCATGTGTGGTGGATATAGTGCTTGACGGCGTTTCCGATACCGTTGATCAGATGCTGGGGAACGCTTTCTGCTGGAACCGTACCGATTACGTTAGAATCCAGGTCTGTGATTTCAACTCTTCATGTCACTAAATCATCAATTATCGATCAAAATGTCGAATATGTTATAATGTGGTGATGCATGCAGGCGAACGGTTTGACGAGCGGCGGAGCGGAGGAGTTGCTGAAAGAGAGAGGTGTGGAAACGGCGCCGTTTGGGGTAAAACGGTTACTAACGGAGAGTAACGGAGCAAGAATCGAGGGTTTCGTGCAACGTCTTGTTGCTTCAGGAAAGTCAAGTCTACCTCCAAGTCCTTGCAAGGAATCTGCCGTTAACCCTCTCGCTGACGGCCGTTAAGTTTTCTTTCTTATTTTTATCAATATAACCCTCCGTCCGTGATGTAAGTTTGTAACCAAACCTCAGGGTTAATTTTTAACCCCAGCATCTTCGAATTAATTAATTAGCCTTTTTTCTAATGACTTTAGTTAATTAATAATGAACTACTTATTTACTACTGACTTTCTAGCTTCTCTAACAATTTTTTATACTATTTGCTATTCCCTTGGATCAAGGCCCGATGATTCTGTCAAAACTGTTTTCCCAAAATGACCTTAGACCATAAGCAGTGGACCAATCCAACGGGTGTAAGTGGTGGAGTGTTTAGAATAAAGAAAGGGAAAAAAATGCAAATGTTGGGTTACACCCGAAACTCGGGTGTTAAGTTACAATCGGATGTACCGATGACGTGGCAGTGTCTGGTTGGGGGAGAATTTTTGTAATTACTGAATTAATTTCATTTGGGAAAAAAAGGGGTTCGTCTCGTTCTAGTGTTTGGTCTCTGTTCTCTCTCGAGACCCAATCTTCAACCGAGAAAGCGACGGCCGATTTCAGTCCGATTTCTAGCCGTTTTCCGACTAAACAACCCCAAAATCGATCTCTTCTCTTTGATTTAATCCTTCTCTGCTTTGAATTTGTAAGAATCTGTTCTAAAAAACCCCAAATCGCCTTTTCTCCCCAAAATCGATCTCTTCTCTTCATCAAATTTGAAGCCGATTCCGACCAAACTACCCGAAAATCGATCTCTATTCGACGATTCACGCATTCCATGCTTTCAATTACTAAGAATCTGTTCCAAAAAACCCCAAATCCTTTCGTCTCCTCTGGGTCTCATCGCAACATCTGTCTCCGGCGATACACAGTAGGTAAATCGTCATCAACTTTGTGTTATAAGTAGCATTTGGTTGTTGAATCCGAAGATTAGTGAGGTAGTGATGAAGAAATATAGGAGACGAAATGATTTTCTTATGAGAATTTCGGGTTTGAGATGTAATATAAACTGATATATTTCATGATATCTGTTTTAGGGTAGATTAAAGTTATATTTTGTAGATTATGTGAATAGAGGATGTCGGGTTTGCAAAATTTTTGGTTCATCAAGTTTTGATTCAGTTATATTTGTCTGTTAGTGAACCTGAACTTTGATTTTGCTTTCTTTCTGAGGTTGCTAGGTGAGTTAAGCAGGGAAACTTCAATCCGGAAAGCAACAACTACTACCACGACTAACTGAAAACAAAAAAGGTATGTCTAAGACTCCATTTAGTTAATGCAATAGACAACTAGTAGTTGGACCAGCTCGTGTGAATGTTTGCAGTGGTTCTTTGTGTGTTGTATAGTACTGTCTTCATAGTTTTGATATGATTTGAGTGTTTCAGTTGTAAGGGTTAGTGTATCACTGTATGGTTTTTGTGATATTAGTGGTAATGGTCTTGTTTCAGTTGCTGTCATAACTGAAAAGTTACTTTTAATTGAATGAATCTGGTTTGTGGTACTTGGTAGCTGAGTTGGTATAAATTGTATTTACACCTGATTTGACTTTGGTAGTTGATAGTTACCTAAACACTTACTACTAATTATCTCTTCTTCTAATTATCTCTTCTTTGCACATTATTCTTTCCAAACCAATCTGTTTTACCATCTTCCATCTCTTCTTTCATCTCTTTTCTTTAGTGATTGATATGGATTCAAATAATGGTCCATACAATCAGTCTCCCGGTTCCTATGTTAGCCTTCAAAACTTTCCTTATCATTCATTTTCTCTTGCTGGAGCTTCAGAAATCCCTTCTTTTAGTTCACAGCCGTCTCTTGTGCCAAGTCACCCTGAAATCCTTTCATTTAGTTCTGAACCGGCTCATGCTCAAACTCAACCTGAAGAATCAGCACTTGACCGTAGGGCTAAAAGGCTATGGTCAAACCCAGATGACTTGGTCCTCATCAGTGGGTGGCTTAACACATCAAAGGATGTTATTGTAGGCAATGACCAAAGGTCAGGAACCTTTTGGAGGCGTATAACTGAGTACTATGCTTCAAGTGACCATGTACGCAAAGGAGCTGAGCCAAGAGACAGTGACAGTTGTAAGCAAAGGTGGGCCAAAATCAGTCGAGATGTGAGCAAGTTCTGCGGAGCATATGCTTTTGCATTGGACGCGAAAGCTAGTGGTCAAAATGATAATGACATTCTGCAGTTGGCTCACCAAACCTACTCAAAAAACAACAACAAGAAGAAGTTCACGCTTGAGCATGCCTGGACAGTTCTGCGATATGAACCTAAATGGTGTAGTTGGATTGATATGAATCCTACTAGCAAGACAACCAGCAACAAAAGAAAGGCTGATGAAGCTTCACCATCTGTTGGATCTACTATAGGTGAGGAAGAGAGTAGGCCTCCGGGTATTAAAGCAATGAAGAAATTGAGGAAGAAGGGTAAAGAGAAGGCTGCACCACCTGCAGAGGATAACAAAATCTTGGAGGCCAAGCAGAAGGATATGGAGCTAAAGAAACAGCTCCAACAGATGTCCCTTCTTGACACACTGATTGCCAAGAAGGAAACACTTGATGAAGAGGAAATAGCTCTTAAGAAGAAGCTAATTGCTGAAGTTTACAATTCTCTTTAGATTTCAAGTTTATTTATGCACTATTTCCTGTTTTAATGATGTATGAATCAAGATCAATTTGTGTTGTTTTAATGATGTATGAATCAATATCTATGTTTATTAACTAAGTTTGTACCTTCTGTGTTTGCTGTTTTAAACCAAGTTCTCTATATGAATCAATTTCTTATGTCTTTGTCTTGTTTTAAGTATTTAGAAAACATATGTCTTGTATTATCACAATGTATGAAATTGACTCAGTTGATATATGCCATGCGTTCTTGGGTTTAGTCTCGGATCATATCTAACTTGTTTTCCCATGTGTTTTTGGTTTCAGGTTGAAGAAGACATGGGTTTAGTCTCGGGTATACTTGAGTTTTTTAGTCACGGGTATACTTGAAGATATTTTGGTGTTTTGTATCACGGGTATACTTGAGTTTTTGTATTAGATAATGGCACGTTGGATTTTTGTGTCACGGTTTAACTTGTCGCAATTGAGAAAGAAGTCACGGGTTACCAAAATATCAAATATTTGACACAACACTTCATTTCCTATATATGTATTTCTTTCCTTTGACGATCGCACAGACAAATCTCTCACAAACCCATTCCCTTATCTTCTTTATATTTCAAGTTGATTATATCCAAAAAAACAAGTATCTCGTCCTAAAATTCAAGTGTCTCCTGCGAACACTCTTTCTTTTTTCGGTTTTTATGGCATCTTCTTCAAATAATTTTCATTATCATTATGACTCCAATAATGATGAATTTGACCAATATCTTCAAGAGCAATTCGATAATCTATGCGATACGACTGAAGAGGATATTCCGGTCGAAAGGGATAAACGTACATACATCGATAGAAATCGGGAAGAAGGGCACAAGCAGTTGATGGCCGATTATTTCTGTGATAATCCGAGGTACACGGAGACGCTATTTCGCAGACGATTTCGAATGAACAAGTCCTTGTTCTTGCGTATTGTCAATCGTCTCACTGAAGAAGTTACATATTTTAAACCAAAAAAAGATGCAACCTTCCGAGATGGGTTATCACCGCTACAAAAATGTACTGCAGCAATTCGACTATTAGCATATGGGTGTTCGGCAGACTCAATTGACGAGTATGTACGACTTGGTGAAACGACGGCCCGGGAATGTTTATTACATTTTGTTGTCGGAATAGTTGACTTGTTCGGCACTGAATACCTACGACGACCCACACTAGAGGATCTTCGAAGGTTACTCTTTATTGGAGAACACCGCGGTTTTCCAGGGATAGTTGGAAGCATCGACTGTATGCATTGGAGGTGGAAGAATTGCCCTACCGCTTTGAAAGGAATGTATTCAAGAGGAACCGGAAAACCAACAATTGTTTTGGAGGCGGTAGCTTCACAAGATCTCTGGATATGGCACGCATTTTTTGGAGCGCCAGGTACTTGTAACGATTTAAATGTTCTTGATCAATCCCCAGTATTTAATGACATTATTCACGGTCGAGCTCCTGAATTGACCTACTATATCAACGGAAGGGAGTATAATTTGGCTTACTATCTTACGGATGGGATTTATCCCGAGTGGGCGACATTTGTTAAATCCATCCCAGGACCACAACACCCCAAACATAGATTGTTTGCAAAACGTCAAGAAGGTGCACGAAAAGATGTTGAACGTGCATTTGGAGTCCTGCAAGCTAGATTCGCCATGATTAAAAATCCAGCTCTTTTATGGAAGAAAGGTAAATTAGCATACATTATGAGAGCATGTATCATACTCCATAATATGATTGTCGAAAATGAACGACATTCATACACTCTCGAAGAAGAATTAGACCAAAGAGAAGAAACGGAAACCATCCCCGTTTTTAAAGGTTCAGTCAATATGCCTACCAATCTCGCCGGTTTTGGTGATGGTCACACAAGAATTCGTGATCGACAAGCACATCACCAATTAAAAGAGGATTTGATTGAGCATTTATGGGCGAAATTTGGACATCTTCCAAATGATGATTAAAGTTTTTAAATTTTGTATTAATTAAATAAAATGTTTGTGTGTTTTAAGTAATAAATATGTTTGTTTGTTTTTATGTTTAAAATTTAAATGTTATTTTTAATTAAAAAAAAATGTTTTATGAATTACTTAATTATATTATTAAACTATTACTAAGAAACAGGTTCTACCAATAACACCAAGTTTCTAAACTTCAACTCTTACATTATTTTATTAATAAAACTCCACTAACACACACCCATCCACTTTTACCATTGTGGATAACACCAACTTTCTAAACTTAACTCTTACATTATTTTATTAATATAACTCCACTACCACACACCCTTCCACTTTTACCATTGTGGATGCCCTTACTCTTCCAACCAAAACAAAACAAGGAAATGAAAACAAAAACTCAACGTAGAGCAATGATACGCCATTATGAATATGCAATTAGAAAATCTCAAATAAAAAGAGATACACTCTTACGTATTTACAACTTTGAAGGAATCATTGATGGGAAGGAAGTAAAGCATTAAAATAAACAGATATTCTTTCCTTAGATAGCCAGCACAGAGTGTTCCAAATCTAGAACTTGTCATTTTCAAGCAATAACATTTACACTAAAATATATTTTCTTTTATTTTAAAAAAAATAAATAAAAATACAGCTCGAAAATGTGAGGAGAGTGGGACACAAGTCTAATAAACACATCCATCGCCTTTTCTATTCATTTTCATATTTCACTGTTTCAGTAACCTAATTGGACTATCGTTGTAACTAACTTTTACTATTTACCCTTCTTTCTTATCCTTTCTAGCCCATGAAAAGTCAAAACATCCATTATTCATTCCTTCTCTAAATCGATACTCCAACAAGGCAACACAAAAATTGCTCCATTTTTATACGTCAAGTAAACCATTGCCAGCACCAATCTTACAATTCATTAACTTTAATTCAAAACTAATTGACAAGAATATCGTTCAAAAAAAGTATAAAGACAAAAAGACGACGTGTAGCTTCTATCATCTCTTTTTCTTAATCTCTTGCAACTCATGTTACCGTTTTATAACAAATGATACGTTAATATTGTCCTTGTCTACTTATTTACATGTATTTCTCGTTTTTTCTCGGTTTACATTATTTAGATATTTGTTTCTCCAGACATCCATTTATAATTTTTTTGGAGGCTTTTGTAAATCTCTCCACTACTAACTAATTTTCAATTTTTATGTTTCTTTTTCTAGTATCATCATTCTGTTATTATAGATTGTTGACTTTTTTCTAACGTTGATTCAACTGATCATTTATTGTTTCCATTCATTAGATAGCTAAGACATTATTACATACAATAAGCTTCTAAATGATATTATACCAAAAATTACTCTACTTTCTAAAATTATCTTGCATCTATAGTTTTACTAGTAATTATTAATCTCGGTGAGTTATAAGAACCCCGAGATGCCTAAATAACAACAAAATATCGGAAATTGTTTGATAGACATTTCTGATGGCATAAATACTTGATGTCGTATACGCTGCCAAACTTAAATAATTGCTTTCAATTAATACGGGAAATTAAAAGACAATTTTCATCATAAAACAACAAGAAGGCTTTCCTTCGTCCAACGGAATTATTGATGTTCAATGCATTCCCCACTTTTCTTTTCTTTTTGTTCTTTCGTCAACAAAACTTTAAATTAATTGAACTGAGTTTTTTTTTTTTTTTTTTTTAAAAAAAATTTGAACTGAGTTACTGATGTATAAATATTGATGATGTCGTATCTAAATCCAAACCACAATCTTAAGAATGTTTTGTTTGTCAAAGCCGTAGTATATAATTTTGTCGGTCGTTTGATTCAAGAAGAATTTTGTTACACTTCTTTATTGGTTATGGCATTTAAGAAACAAGTCAAGTACTTATTTCATATTTTGATTACAGAATCTGAACACATAATTGACAAAAAAAAATGTATGTATTAATTCAACACTAAATTTTTGTAAGCCAGATGCAATGAATTAACAAGGATGCGACAAATAATTTTATTTTAAAAAGTTGCAACAAACAACAGAATATTCATTTGACAATGTTTAATATCAATAATATATGACGATTACGAAAATTATTGGAATGATATCTTTTAAATACTTTTGTTCCATTCCTTCGATTCAATCTTTTGTCATTGGTAGCTTCTCCCTTCGATTCTATATTTGCCAAAGCATATATATGCTTCTTTATTATATTATGAAGCATGTCTCTTCTTTCGTAAAGCACTAGATGAATACATGCCTTTGTGTGGATTTTTTGTTTCATAAAGAAAATATTTGTATCCTAAAAATTTGACTTGACTAATTTATATATTTATTTTGATGATGTTAAAATCTCATTTTTTTATCATTTGTAAGTCTTACAAGTATGTCTAATTTTTTTTTTTTTCTTACTTGTGTTCAGATATAATAGTATTGTTTTTTTTTTAAAGATCTAATAGTATTGTTGGTTTAATTATGTCATCTTATCTGCTTAAGAGACTTTTTTAAGAGATCTAGAGTCACAACTAAAATTTAAGAGATATTTGAATTGTAGTATGTAGGTGATAAATTTTCCGGATGAAAATGTATAACTATTAAAGGATTCTACAAACAGATGATGAATTATCTTTTAATTTGTTGTAAGAAAATATTTATATGTTAAGTTATAATGTGCTTAGGTGTCACCAAAGGACAACAATCATTCATCTGTAATACAGTATATGGGATTATAATTAAGCAGCTTATCTCTTGCCCATCCCATGTATATTAAAATTAATATTGGTACAAATCAAGATTATCCTTACCCACCTAATTTGATTATTTAAGTGTCCGATCAAATTTATTAGTTTTTTGAAAAGGAGAATGGCTAATTAGCCGGCACTTAAAAGGTTTCAGTGGGGGTGGTAGAGCCACCATGACCTTAATAGATTGAAGGTACAGAAACATCATAAGCACATAACCATAATTTGTACATTAATTAACACTTTAGCTAATAGTGCTTACTAATCTTTAATTTGTAATATTAACTTTGTCGGTTTGGCCATGCAAAATGCATCCCACCAAGAAGCAC